TGGGCCGGGGTGGTGGGTGGGCGCTGTCGCCGGGGCCCGTCGCCCCCTTTTATTTTCTACTGGGGGGTTAAGGTTACGGGTTATTTTGGCCCCTGCAAAACTTGCTGCCAATGGCGGGTGTTTGCCGGGTGTTTCCCCCTTTCGTTAGCTTCCCAAAACCCGTCGCCCCCTTTAAACGGCGACCCCAAAGAGGCCCTCGCAAGAGGGGACTTTTAGCAGCGGGCTCTGTCCTTCCTTCATGGCTGTCATTGACAGCCAGGGGTACTTCCCATGACCCGGGTGGCCAGGGAGGCCTCGCAACGCTGACGCCGGGGTTAAATGAAGAATAGCCCAAAAAACCTGGACCCTTTTCTTCCTCGGGGTAAACCAGACCTCCCTTTTTTAGACGGGATAGGGGACCCGCGAGGGGGGCAATGTTTTTAGCCGCTGAACAAAGCCTGTCCCACAAAAGGACTTCTCAGCCAGCTGTGCTGGGGGTCTGCCCTTTTTTGTGCTGGCAAGGGGGGTTTTCTTGGAGGCCCCCCGGGCCAAACCCCGGGCCTAATACCCGCCATCCTCTCGACCTAGGTTCCCCTTGGCACCCACTCACGCCAGCCACTCTGGGAAATGGGTTACACTTTGGCCGGCAAAACGCGCCCAGGGGTTTCCACGACCCCTCGCCCTATTTCCGAGGGAAGGCAAGCAGGACCTTCATCTTTTTCTCGGTCTAAGTGGGGGGCCGCCCTCCATCATGTCCCCCCTCCCCAGGGGGGGAGAGGGGGCACCTATTCAAGTCGGGGGGGCGGCTCTCTCAATATTCGGGGAAATCCGCAGCGGGGGGGCCCGCGCAAAGGGGACGGGCTTGACGTAACAACCCGGGGCTCTCGCACGGAGCCTTCAGATCTCACACTCCCCAAAAGGAAAGGGGGTCTTAAGGTTGGCCCAAGGGTGGGATTGTTCCCTTGGGAAACCCTCTCTGCGTCTCTCCTTGTACCCCCTGAGTCAGCACTGTCCGCGACGCCTCTAAAGCGGGGCGAGAAGGGACGTAAAAAGGTGTTCCTCTAGGGGATATCCTCCCTCAAGAACGCCCAACGCTGCTTCTCCCTTCATAGGAAGGAGGGCGCAGGATGCGCAATAAAAAAATTAGGGGGATTGCCTGCCGGTCCCGTTCTTGGCATGCTGCTGCCCCCAACACACGAAAACAAAGGTCGTGGGGGTCCCTTAGATGCCATGGAGAGCACGGCAACTGACCCCTGAAAAGGCTTTTGGGGTGGCAAACATCTCTGGCCGTTCTCATTTTAGAAGACGTCGATGAGCCAGCCATCGACGTCTTCTAAAATGAGAACGCCAGGAGATTTTCCACCCCCGATTCTTCCTGGAGTCTTCTTACTTCTTGGCTTCTTCAGTCTAGTCGTCCAGTCGCTGAAGATAATGGGAGCTGATTGAGGGGAGGCGTCCCCTCTTATAGGGACACCTGTGCTCCCATTGGCTGCAGGTGTGTGCATAATTTTGCTTCAGGCTGTTGCTGCCTTAGGGCAGAGGGTAAATCAACTACAGCTATACGGTGATCAGCTGACTTCCGTGACTTCCGTCTCGCTTCCGCATTGTCTCCGTGCTTGCTGTGCTGTTTGTTGCTACTTGGCTACCTGCCAAACTATTCACGTTTTACTTTTAATAAACGTTTAATCAATCTCTGTGTTCAACAAATTTACCAACTTTTTAGTTTTGTCCTCACTCATCTTTTTTTCGTTAAACTTTTTCACCCCGGACGTTTATCCCGAGACAGAAGAGTCATTTTCCTGTGCGTTTTAGCTGCCAACTTTACGTTATTTTCCTTTTTTCCATCGCAACTTTTTTCCCTTATTCAACTTTTCACCTCCGGACGCTTTATCTGGACATGGTTCATCAACATCTTCAACAGCCGAAGCTAAGTAGTAACATTAAACATGATGTCTTCTAATTGCAGTCGCTGTACTCATAATATACAGGAGAACGATCGCCTTACGGCGAGAATAGCTGTGCTACAAGCCCAGCTTCAGACGCAATCGTTAGGCAAGGGTAATCTCAGTGTAGGAAAGGAAGAAAACAGCGTCTGTGCCACCAGTAAGTACAGACAGTAACGTTAGTATAAATCCCCCCCGCACAGTCCCCCGCAGCCGGACAACTTTCTCATGGCTTCTGGAGGGAAATACTGTTGGAATGCTCAACCGGTGTCGCTCATTCAGCCGACGAAAACCTTCAACCGGTTTCCCCATTATGTAGCGAGTCGGAGTCTGAGTCTGAGTCTTCTCTAGTCTCTACTCCTCCCGTTACGGGGTCTGAGACGCCGAAGGCTCCCACCATTAGCTCTGACAAATTGAAAACCCTAGTCATTGGCGACTCCATTACCCGCAGTATTAGACTTAAAACGAATCACCCAGCGATCATACACTGTTTACCAGGGGGCAGGGCTACCGACGTTAAGGCTAATCTAAAGATGGTGCTGGCTAAAGCTAAAAACTGGCGAGTGTAGAGAGTATAGAGATATTGTTATCCACGTCGGCACCAACGATGTTAGGATGAAACAGTCAGAGGTCACCAAGTGCAACATAGCTTCAGCGTGTAAATCAGCTAGAAAGATGTGTCGGCATCGAGTAATTGTCTCTGGCCCCCTCCCAGTTAGGGGAAGTGACGAGCTCTACAGCAGAGTCTCAGCACTTAATCGCTGGTTGAAAACTGTTTTCTGCCCCTCCCAAAAGATAACATTTGTGGATAATGGCCCTCTTTCTGGGACTCACCCACAAACAGGACCAAGCCTGACCTGCTGAGGAGTGACGGACTCCATCCTAGCTGGAGGGGTGCTCTCCTCTTATCTACCAACATAGATAGGGCTCTAACTCCTCTAGCCCCACAGTGAAATAGGGTGCAGGCCAGGCAGCAGGCTGTTAGCCAACCTGCCAGCTTAGTGGAGTCTGCCAATAGCACAGTCAGTGTAGTCAGCTCAGCCATACCCATTGAGACTGTGTCTGTGCCTCGACCTAGGTTGGGCAAAACTAAACATGGCGGTGTTCACCCTAGCAATCTTATTAGGATAAAGACCTCCTCCATTCCTGCCATTATTGAAAGAGATCGTGATACCTCAACATCTCAAAATAGGGTTACTTAATGTTAGATCCCTCACTTCAAAGGCAGTCATAGTCAATGAACTAATCACTGATCATAATCTTGATGTGATTGGCCTGACTGAAACATGGCTCAAGCCTGATGAATTCGCTGTGTTAAATGAGGCCTCACCTCCTGGTTACACTAGTGACCATATTCCCCGTGCATCCCGCAAAGGCGGAGGTGTTTGCTAACATTTACAATAGCAAATTTCAATTTACAAAAAAAAAATGGCGTTTTCATCTTTTGAGCTTCTAGTCATGAAATCTATGCAGCCTACTCAATCACTTTTATAGCTACTGTTTACAGGCCTCCTGGGCCATATACAGCGTTCCTCTCTGAGTTTCCTGAATTCCTATCAGACCTTGTAGTCATAGCAGATCATATTCTAATTTTTGGTGATTTTAATATTCACATGGAGAAGTCCACAGACCCACTCCAAAGTCTTTCGGAGCCATTATCGACTCAGTGGGTTTTGTCCAACATGTCTCTGGACCTACTCACTGCCACAGTCATACTCTGGACCTAGTTTTGTCCCATGGAATAAATGTTGTAGATCTTAATGTTTTTCCACAAAATCCTGGACTATCGGACCACCATTTTATTACATTTGCAATCGCAACAAATAATCTGCTCAGACCCCAACCAAGGAGCATCAAAAGTCGTGCTATAAATCTCAAACAACACAAAAATTCATTGATGCCCTTCCAGACTCCTTCTGCCTACCCAAGGACGTCAGAGGACAAAAATCAGTTAACCACTTAACTGAGGAACTCAATTAACCTTGCGCAATACCCTAGATGCAGTTGCACCCCTAAAAACGAAAAACATTTGTCATAAGAAAACTAGCTCCCTGGTATACAGAAAATACCCGAGCTTTGAAGCAAGCTTCCAGGAAATTGGAACGGAAATGGCGCCACACCAAACTGGAAGTCTTCCGACTAGCTTGGAAAGACAGTACCGTGCAGTACCGAAGAGCCCTCACTGCTGCTCGATCATCCTACTTTTCCAACTTATCGAGGAAAATAAGAACAATCCAAAATTTCTTTTTGATACTGTTGCAAAGCTAACTAAAAGCAGCATTCCCCAAGAGAGGATGGCTTTCACTTCAGCAGTGATAAATTCATGAACTTCTTTGAGGAAAAGATCATGACCATTAGAAAGCAAATTACGGACATCCTCTTTGAATCTGCGTATTCCCTCCAAGGCTTAGCTGTCCTGGATCTGCACAGCTCTGCGAGGGCCTGGGATCGGGAGAGACACTTAAGTGTTTTAGTACTATATCTCTTGAC